TACCTCATCAGATGTTTCCATTTTGGAATTCCTTTCTGATGCCCAAGTTGTGACCTTGCACTCCCATCAGTTCTCAAGGCCGGCTGCAGGATGGTTGCGGCTTTACATCCTAGTAGCCTTTGCGCTTTGCCCTGGTGCTGAGGCCTGGCCCAATCTTGGGGTACTTCATCCTGATAGCTTGACGGAGCTTTTTGCCCTCAGCTCACAACTCCTCACCACCATTCTGTCGGGAATTTCCTCCTGCCTGGCTGGATTTCCATTGATTTTGGCCTCGCCTGTCTCTTTTGGATTTTCGTTGGACTTTCGTGCCTCCACCGCTTGCACCAAGGGGCCCTGAAGACAGGTCTCGAGCCCAGGCACGTGAAGGCTGGGGTCTGCAGGCCGACCGAGTCGTGAAGCAGTCGACTAGGGACCAACGTCAGAAACGACTGCGTGAGTTTGACATTTGGTTGGCAGACAACCTGCGCACAACCCTAGTGGAGCTGATAGATGCAGCATTGTTGGACCCGGAAGAAGTTTGTGAGGCGCTCATTACCTACAGCAAAGACATGTTTCTGGCAGGTTACCCTTATGGAAATTTTGCTGAAACGGTGAACGCCATCACCCAACGACGTCCAGCTCTCAGGCGGCAATTGACTGCCGCCTGGGACCTTGCTTTCAACTGGGTCTCCGGGGAGCCGAGGACCCACCACCCAGCGCTCCCGGTGTCTGTGCTCTTGGGGCTTTGCAGCCTTGCGCTCCTATGGGGATGGCCGCAAGAGGCGGCCATCTTTTCGATGGCATTGGCTGGCCTGGTTCGCATCGGAGAGATTTTTTCCGCGAAGCGCGGAGATTTGGTGCTCCCTTGTGACGCTGCACCAGGTACCACAGGGATCTTGTTGAAGATCCAGGAACCAAAAACCCGAGGCCGCTCAGCAAGACATCAGGCCTCACGAATCGACTACCAAGACGTCGTTTCCTTGGTCTCCGCTGTCTTCAGTAAGCTTGACGCAGCGGCTCCTTTGTGGCCATGGTCCCCGGCTACGTTGAGGCGACGCTTCGTCACGCTCCAAAGAGCAGTTGGCCTTGAGGTTCGAAGATTGCCCAACAGCTCGCCTTACGACCTGGCCTCACTCAGGCCAGGCGGAGCAACCTTCCTCCTCCAACAGACGGAGGACAGTGAGTTGGTGAGGAGGAGCGGAAGGTGGCTCTCTTCCAGAGTTTTGGAGATATACATCCAGGAGGCTGCAGTGTCTACGTATCAGCAGAAGATGTCACCATGGACATACAGCCGCATCACTGAGCTAGCTGGAGTGTTTCCAAATGTGCGGGAGAGAGCCATTTTCTTTTTAGATGTCCACATACCGCCAAGGGCATGGCCACGGCTGTGGTGAAGAGGGGAGGTCTGGAAAGATGGAGTTGTTGGTGGCTTGCTTTGTCAACCAGCCCACATTCGAAGAGGACCAGCCAGACTTGGCGAAAGGTGGAAAAAGTGCGAGGGCTTGAGGCATTGTATACTAAGCTGCAGAACTGGAGTAGCGACATCGCTAAACTTGCCATAGCAAGCATGTCTATATCCTTTTCCTATCATGCACTATCATGTGAACGCGGGTGAGGATGCGCTACCCTCACAGCAGGCCCTTCTCTAAATAGTCTCACCTGACATTCTGTGCCGCCCTCGAGAGAATTATCTTTGCTGGTGCATCGCAGTCTGTTGGTCTTCCGTGGCAACTCTTCCCGCAGGCAAGAGCAAGATCGCTCCAAATTTGTTTCCAGGCCGGGAATTGTTGAGTGATCTCGCTCGGAAAGCCGGAGATTCAGCGCTCAGGAGTGGCTCGTTCACGCTGAACGAAGGCAACGATACGAAGTGGCTACGTTTTGTCAGCGCGTGAGCAAGACGCTTGTGCACATCCCCATTCGCGCTTTGACTCTACATAGCCTCTATATAGTCTGTATAGTAGTATTTTCAACTGCGGCGGTGTTGCCGTTAGCAGCCAGCTCCACATGTCATGTGCTATTGCACGCGTTGCTGCTGCATGACTGCGTTTCTGCTGTTCGTTTAGTTCTCCGTCAAAGCTGCAAAGCAGCTTGCGGCCTTGCACGTGGCAAGAAAGAAAGATTTCAAGGTGGAAAACAGGATGCGGTTGTGAGGCTCCAATCTGGGCACATCCGGGCAATCATGACTAACATCGAAATTCTTGGACAAAGAGCTTTAGTGTGATCCCACTTGGATTGACCAGAGCTTTGGCCATACAACATGACAACCCGCCGATCATCATGGCTTCTCAGAGCATGACTCTTTGGCTGAAGAATTTTTTTGACATAAAGGGGGGTAGGCCGCTAGTAGAGATGAGGTAAGTTAGCTAGGGAGAGGTAGCTAGTAGCTAACCAGTAGCTACTAGCATGGACGCAGGATCATTTGGTTCCTAGATTTTTAGGGAAACTTAACTAGTAGCGATTGCCTCCACCCTACTAGCGATGGCCTCCAACCTACTAGCGACGCCCTCCAACCTAGTAGAGATGGTCTCCAACCTAGTAGCTATGGCCTCCA